GGGTATGTAATGACAACATTTGGGTATGTAATGACAACATTTGGGTATTTGATGACAACATTTGGGTATTTAATGACAACATTCCGGTATGTAATGACAACATTCTGGTATGTAATGACAACATTTGGGTATGTAATGACAACATTTTGGTATTTAATGACATTTTGGTATTTAATGTCAACATTTGTGTATTGAATGACAACATTTGGGTATTGAATGACAACATTTGGGTATTTAATGACAACATTTGGGTATGTAATGACAACATTTGGGTATGTAATGACAACATTTGGGTATTTGATGACAACATTCCGGTATGTAATGACAACATTTTGGTATTTAATGACATTTTGGTATTTAATGTCAACATTTGTGTATTGAATGACAACATTTGGGTATTGAATGACAACATTTGGGCAATTAATGACAACATTCCGGTATGTACTGACAACCTTTGGGTATGTAATGACAACATTTGGGTATGTAATGACAACATTTGGGTATGTAATGACAACATTTGGGTATTTGATGACAACATTTGGGTATTTAATGACAACATTCCGGTATGTAATGACAACATTTTGGTATTTAATGACATTTTGGTATTTAATGTCAACATTTGGGTATTGAATGACAACATTTGGGCAATTAATGACAACATTCCGGTATGTAATGACAACATTTGGGTATGTAATGACAACATTTGGGTATGTAATGACAACATTTGGGTATTTGATGACAACATTTTGGTATTTAATGGCAACATTTTGGTATTTAATGTCAACATTTGGGCATGTGATGACAACATTTGGGTATGTGATGATAACATTTGGGTATTTAATGACAACATTTGGGTATTTGATGACAACATTTGGGTATTTAATGGCAACATTTGGGCATGTGATGATAACATTTGGGTATTTAATGGCAACATTTGGGTATTTAATGGCAACATTTGGGCATGTGATGACAACATTTGGGTATTTAATGGCAACATTTGGGCATGTGATGATAACATTTGGGTATTTAATGGCAACATTTGGGTATGTGATGATAACATTTGGGTATTTAATGGCAACATTTGGGTATTTAATGTCAACAGTTAGGTATTTAATGGCAACATTTTGGTATATAATGACAACATTTGGGTATTTGATGGCAACATTTGGGTATTTAATGTCAACATTTGGGCATGTGATGACAACATTTGGGTATTCAATGGCAATATATGACGACGTGATGTCAATGTTTGGGTATATTGTGACAACATTTGGGTATGTGAGCTCAACATTTTTGGTACCGGCATATAATGGCAACATGTGAGGTCAAAATTTGGGTATATAATTTACAAACTACAATTTCAACCCTTCCAGGTGATACCTCTTTCTCAGCGTAGCGGTGTTTTAGAGTGGTGTGAGGGAACGATGCCATTGGGTGAATATTTGATAGGATCACGCAATGACGGTGCTCACCAACGATACTATCCACAAGATTTGCTACCAACAAACTGTCGAATTAAAATGAATGTAAGTTAAACTTTGATTTACTTTTGCAGAGTGTAAATTTAAGAAAAAAAATATTTTTGTAAATTTTAGCATTTTTAATATTGATGCAATTATTCAAATGATAAATAATCCTGGTGTAATTCAGAATTAGATTCAGTGTGCTATTCCAACAAGATATGCAAATTGTAATTTTCACTACTTAGTATTATTTCTAATCTGCTAATTTAACCCACCCAAATTCAGTGTTGCATTTTGTTATAATTGTCACTAAATTTTATCATCATTTTGGACTATAAGGGTATTCAGATATTGCTTTTATTTTTTGATAAAATAGTTTAAAATTTTTAAATATTGAAGGGTTAAAGTTAAAAATGTGTTCTCTTTTAACCTTTTCACCACCAGTTTCCTCTTTTCATTACAAATTCACAAAGTAGTCCTGCCAAAAAATAGTCTGCACTTTCCTTCAGAAGATTGGAGCAAAAATAGGCAAATTTTTGGAGTAAAAACTGAAAATTAACTCAAATTCTGACTGTTGGCTCCAAAATTATGGTTCATTTTCAGAAAATATAAGAAAAAAGTGATGAAAAATTTGGGCAAGAAAATCTGGTGGTGAAAAGGTTTAAGGTGTAAATGGTTTCAGTTAGTTATCGTCTTTCTAAAACTTAGCAATATTTATAGGACAAATACCAATTACCGGTACATGCAAAATATTATACTTGCCAAGTTTAACAAACTGTTTCTTCGTCATTAGAATGCCCATAAAAGTGGACATAATAATGATAAATACGAGGCCTACATGGAAGTATGTAACAATTTTCATCCAGTGTTTCGTCATTTCTTCCTTGAGAAGTTTCAAGACCCTGCCATATGGTTTGAAAGGCGTCTTGCATACACTAGAAGCGTGGCTACTTCATCTATTGGTAAGTGCTTTGATGTAATACCATATACTATGACATTTGTGCTGATATGACATAACCACAAAGATGTACAATATAACAGGTGTAGCGATCAACACGTAGCATATATGTCAATGCAACTACGTACTGTACTGTAAAATACTTTATTTTCGCTATTTTCGCTGAAGGAATGATCAGTGAAAATAAAATCCAGCGAATATATACCTTTTTCCTATATTTTACATTCAACTTGTCAGAAATCAGTGAAAATAAATTCCATACAAAACACCCAAAACGTCTTTTCAGCGAAAATTGATTCCAGCTAAAATAAAGTATTTTACAGTATCTGCATACTTCCCAGTATTCTGATTATAATATTCTGTTTTATTATAAAAAAAAAGATTTTGTTGCTCGTTTTGGGGAAAATTGAAAAATAATGTGGACATGTTTTTTTTGTGTTTTTTTTCGTATTGAGATTATTTAATACCAGAACAATAATTTCAACTTTAACACAAGTTCAAGTTCAACATTTAAAGCGGGGGAGTCATCATCACCTGCGCATGCGTCAGATGGCCATAGCGTGTCATTTTTTACAAACAAGAGTCTACCCATGAGCCTTTGCGTTTTTAGCTTGTGTTGTTATCGTCGCTTGGGACTAAAATTCTCACGCGTGCACAGGTGACGACCCTCCCGCTTTAACATTTAGTAAATAATGCTTTCGATGTATATGCATTGAAAGTTTTTTTTGATCAACAAAACATTTTCTGAAACAGTAAACAAACATTTCTACTGTAGGTGGCATGCTTACCGGTACGCAAATTGCAAAAAAACAAAATTATAAGACGCACCTTTTTTTATTTTGGCCTAATTCGTCTTTCCTCTTTCAGATGATGTAAAGTTAGTTATAAAATCATGTTTAGTAAATCTTTTAGAGATGGTCGAAAGCACAGATAATTTTTTTTAATTTTCTCCTGTTCCTACGTCAACGATAAAAACAACATGGGGACATGAAGGTGTACTGTGTGTTTAAATCTTATAGAGAAACAGACACTTTAAAGGGAAACCGATACTATAAATAGAGGCAAGATATGCCCATCGCAATTAGTATGCTAATCCGAACCAAACTGCTCACATCGTGGTGGGAGATCCGGGAAATGTGCCATTTATGATGTTTTGAGATCAAGATGTGATTCCAAATACATTTTTACGGGGGCATGAATATGTACGCTAGTGATTACACTCATATGGTTGGGCTTTTAATGTATACATGTAGTTGTTTTCGGTCGAAACATGCCGCAGTAAGTAAAAATAATGAGTTTAAAATGGCGGCTAATATATGCAAAATGCCTGTCAATCACAGTTTGAGTAAGCGTGCATAATAAGCATTCATTTACTTAGTGGACAGAGGCGGAGTTAATTACCCAAACAAAAGAAATCAATTGTGGAATTAATCATACATTTTCATATCAGAGGTTTATTTCCATACAACTTAAAAATATTATAATGATTATTAAATATTTTATGTTGTATTTCTTGTTGTTCACAGTCGGTTATGTTGTAGGACTTGGTGATCGGCATGTACAGAATATATTGATAGACTGTAATACTGCGGAACTGGTTCATATTGACTTAGGTAAGAAATCACTAAGTTGAACATTCAAGGTAAAAACATTAGAAACTCTTCTCTGCTTCTCTTGCTGGTGGGGGGAGGGTATCGCCATATTCACTGTCATGGCTGATTGTGGGGGTATTTGCATTTTAAACTCGTATTTTTTTGCAAAATTAGAGCAGCTTTGATTGTATGCAAATTATGATATGATTTATAATTATAATTATAAATCTATTCAGAGAAGCAGTGTGCTCTCTAACATGACTTATTTTGTAGACATTCTGAGTTGAAATGATTTCTCCCAAAATCAAGATGAGTCAGCTTGTTGACAGATGAGAAATTATGTGACTCTATCAGTTGTAGTCCTGGATTCCTTTGTTTTTACTCTATTTCATCCATAAAATGTGAATTTCATTTTACCGAATTACAAATTCTATAACTAAAAGTAACATGTCTTATAAGATCAAAATCAATGAATGATTTTGTGCCACGTCATTGATTTGCCAGTGAATAAGCACAATTAATTACGTTACAGCAAATATTTTTATCATCATATCAGCTTAAGAAGGCACACTGTTAAAAAACTTCAAGTTATGTAATTGTGATTTGAGATGAAATGATTCTCAATTCTCAATTGATGACAAAAATAATTTATTTTGTAAAAAAATGTTTAATGTTCATCTTGCTGCCATGCTTGCATGTTTCAACGGCATATATTTCACAATCTAGTAAAATAAGCCAATGACGGCTTTCGTGTCTGTTTAAACAATTGAATTTTTCCATGCATTTTTTGTGTTCTTTGATGTCATTGGTTAAAATGAAACAGTGATGATTGTCAGGCGATGAAAATCTCCCAAGAATAGACTCTATGCACATTGCTGTACCTTATAACCATATTTTAATTGCATTTTTAATCATCAGGTGTTGCCTTTGAGCAGGGCAGGATATTGCCAACACCAGAGACTGTTCCTTTCCGTTTAACAAGAGATATTGTGGATGGTATGGGAGTGGCTCAAGTGGAGGGTGTTTTCAGAAGGTAAGGATATTGATGGAAAGTGTCTGTGTTGGCCAATTTTTGTAAAATAATTTAAAATTTATTTTTGAAGGATAATTCAGTGAAATTAAAGCGGGCAAGTCTTCACCTACGCATGCGTCAGATAGCCATAACTTGTCACTGTTTACAAACAAGCGTCTACCCATGAGCCTTTGCGTTTTTAGCGTGTGTTGTTATCATCGCTTGGAAATTAATTCCCGCGCAGGTGACGACCCTCCCGCTTTAAAATCCAGCGAATATTCCTTTCTTTTTATATTTTACATTCAACTCATCAAAACAAACATCGGTAAAAACAAACACCGTACAAAATACCTGCACAGCTAGGCAACTTACACATGAGAATTGAATGAACAGAAATGTATTATTATTATTAAAAAAAAATTTGTTTTGACATATTCATTCAGTTTGTTGAACAATTTACCTTATAAGGCAAAAAAAAATTATGTTAACAGTTGAAAATAATAGGTTACTACGAGGATACTGCAATGTATGCACAAAGGCAGTACAGCGGGAGTATCAACCGGCGCGCAATGGAGGTTCATGCAACTGTGTACTGTCTGTGTGCATACTTTGCAGTATCTTCGTAATAGCCTTATTATTATACAGCTTTTCCTCCCAGGAATGCATCATATGAATGCTGAAATCCAAAACGTTTAGAACAGATTTACAAACTTCTTTGTGTGAGGTTCGGTCAAACCCTAGTGGCAGCAATGTTTGTTTTTTATTATTAGAGGACGTTTACACGCATACATGTACTTGTTCCATATTTGGAATTCGCATTTTCTTATATGGTAGGATGAAAAATACCCCGTAAAATTCCGCAACATTATAGCACGCTGTAACTTATGTCATTACGGTACAGATGTATAAGAACATGTATACCCAGATTTGTGCACATCACAGTTAGTGAGATACACTCTAACTTAATTTGTTTCTGATTAAAAGTCTGTGTCAGACCTATAGAGTATGCTTTCCACTGTGGAAGTCTGTGTGGCTCATTGACTCATAAACCCGTCCCTTCAAATGTTTTAAACTTAAAATAATTTACCATTCACCTAGATGCTGTGAGAAGACGATGAAAGTAATGCACAATAACCAGGAATCTATGTTAACTATCTTGGAGGTAGGTATTCTTCATCCAAAAGTTGTCTGTTTCAGTGTACCATGGTGGGGGGGGGGTGGGGGGGGGGGTGTTAGACCTTCTTAATTTATGTATTTGAGTTATTTTCAGCCTAGATAAGTAATACTGATACAAGTGAAAATACTCCTCTTCATTTCCTGCATTGCAACAACTCATTAAATTTACACCACTGTCAACTTGATATTTTGTTTTCAATGACAGATAAATACATTTATATAAAATTGAATATTATTTTTATTTTAAATGTTTTTTGTGCCAGGCAACAGTTCTGGACATTGAGTGTCACTGTTGTCACTTCTGACAAAATTGTGCAAAATTGCAAGTGCTAGTGCTGACACATAGTGCATTTTGCCACAAGTCATATTCATGTTTGGGACTACATGACAGGGCTGTGTGGCCATCTCTCTATTTAATGGCAATTTGAATGCACTATCCTGGCCTCAATCAGACTTGATCGAACACAAGCTGCGAACCATAACCAAGGTTCCCCCAAAGTTGCATTCGTCAGTGAATGAATCTCGGCCAATGGAATTGGCCTTCCCATTGAGTCTGTGGCACACTCACCCAGGGTAGGGGTCGACCCTTTTGATGTAAAGCCTAAAGTAGGACTTGGGTCTACCGATCATGAGACTGATGCGACAACTACTATGCTACCAATGACAGTGAATATTGTTTCACATACATGGTCAATAGACGAGGTTTGAGTTACAAGCTGCATCAGTCAGTTTTCATGTGAGAATAGGGCGGCTGATTTCTAACACGCGCAATTTACGGCTGGTTTCTCTCGTTCCCGGCATTCTGATGAGCTTTCAAACATTTACGCACCCCCCTACGATGCTCGCCATATCACTGATTGTCCATCCTCTTAGATCATCTATTGCATTATTACATTTTCAGTCTTGTTGATATGATACTTGGTATCTATAGTACCGCGTGTGGATTACGGTTAGGTTAGCTCACTTTGTGAGAACGTTTTGTGGATGTAAGAAGTGAGAGAAGTCATATTCACTATGACAACACCAAAACCATACATTTAAGCTTTTATCAGCAAATTGTGCAATAATACCAATGGGTTTGGTTCACCATGAAATGAAGACAACTGCTGCTGAGACAATTTTAATTTTGACAACACAACTAATTTCACAGAGGGATGTAATATTCCCCCTAATCTGGCACATGGTGAACAAAAAGTGTCCTTTGGATAAATTTTGGATGGCGTGACATGGTCGCAATGTCAAACAAAAAAATCTTGACATTTTTTCAGTAAATGTTCACCCTTTACTTTCCCCAATCTTATATATGTTGAGCTCCTAGGTTTATGCTCAGGGAAGTACAGTAATATGCAGATAACATGCAGATTTATGTAAATTTGCATATGTATTTGCATCTGTTCTCCTGGTATCTCAATTACTGCTAATCTGATTTCAATGAAATTTGGTATATAGATGTATCGGAACACTGCAAGACATGATGAGGTTTTGGTGGAAATCTGTTCATGGCTTTCTTCGATCAATTTGTTGAATAATGTCGTACAGTTTGGTCATAAAGTCTTTTATATATTCCTCAAAGCCTGCGACGAGTGTAGCATTTTGCATACGTGGATATAACACTTGATTTCCTTACTTGGCAAAATCTGTTAATTAAGTGATAGGCCAATTGGCCTATTTTTGGTATTCTGATAGTATGAGCACATAATAACGAAAGTATGATGAAAAATGAAAATGAAATGACGTACAATTTTTAATTTGGCTTGAACCTACTTGTCAATATTTCACATGTACGGGTGTCCTAATATTGGCATTTGTGCCATAACAAAATCCAGGTATTGCTTCCTTTAACCAGAAACTGTCCTACATGATCCTATTCGAATTTTTTTTTTTCAATTTCTATTATTGATGGAGGTCAGTATGAAATTGTTTCTAGACATTTCTTTGAATTCTGTAAAGATCACTTCGCAAGCGGATGCTAATATTTAAATTATGATATTGTACATTGTGTGTTTTTTCCTCTGTAGGTTTTTCTGTATGACCCCCTGTACGTCTGGACATTATCTCCAATAAAAGCGATGAAATTACAACAAATGAAACCAGACGCTGATGCTTCTGAATTGAATATCACAAACATAAGCGAGAGGGACATCTTTGACGGATCAGGAGACAGTGCCGAAGGAAGTACAGAAGAATCAAACAAGATGGCGGAGAGAGTGTTACTACGACTGCAACAAAAACTGAAAGGAGTCGAAGATGGTATTGTTGTCAGCGTCAGTGGACAAGTAAATAGACTTTTACAAGAAGCTAGGGATCCCAAGAATCTATGCAAATTGTTTCCTGGTTGGCAATCCTGGATTTGAATAAAAAACTATTGCTGCAAATACATTACATTGTTATTTACTCTATATGTTTTGTTTACAGCTGTTTTCACTGCCATATAAGTAATGCATTTACTGAATTATGTGCATTGGTGGCATTTGACGAGATTGTCAACTTCAAGATTTTTTATTTGAATGTAACTAAGTACTCTAAATATTGATTTTCAACTATCAAAATATCGAATGTAGCTGAAAATCTTCACCTAGTTGTACGAAAAGATAATAATTAATAATGTAAGGGATACAGGAATGATGTGGGAGAATTGCCACAATTTTACTAAACATACTGCCATTGTATACAATTCATATAGCAGCTTTTCTTTGAATTTT